GGAACTTGCGCCTTAAAAATTGAAACCTTTTTTAGGATTTTAAGTGTTATACATAGACATCGATCTGTCAAAGTATGTATAACAGTTTGTAAACGACTCAGAGAACCTAGGGGATACGCAAAGTTTTCTTGAAGATGCGCAGCATTTTCCATAACACTGTTTAACCAACTCGTGTTTTTTTCAGTTGCCTTGGGGACGTAATTTGTGATTAGCCCCGGTACCTTTCAAATTTTCTCAAGAAGCGGTCGTTAGCAACTTGTTTGTCACTCTTCAAGAAGTGTAGACGTGTATTCGCTTTTATTTAATAAAACTGTTCCTGTGTAATTTCTCTGAGTTCCAGAAAGACCGAATCTCTTCAGGTTATGAGCACCACGATGAAGGAGACTTCTGGAATTTCTCAGCTCAAAGGGGTCACTTTTACGAACTGGCAGTATAGAGTCAAGCTAAACCTGGAGGCTGCGAAAGTGTCTGAAGCGCTGGAAAAGGATGTGCCTACTGTGGATCTTGATCTTGAGAATTTTCTTCAGATGGATCGGATGGCAAAATCTATGCTAGTGAGTTTCATTCCGGATGAATGCCTAGAAATCGTCCGGGAGAAAGGCGCTTCAGGACACCTTTGCCAAGAAGTGTGTGGCAAGTCAGGCGGTATAACCATAGAAGTAACTCTAAGACCACTGGGTCCCGAAGAAAATCATTATTATTTTTGGCTCACTCAGTACCAGAACAACGGTCCCAAGCAGTCCCAAGCTATTTCACTCACCCCTGCATGTTCTGCATGAATCCACACACCCCTGATGTTATCTGTCAAACTTTCATAGCGATTCAAAACAAACATAGTGTAGTAATAGAATTTCAACTAGAATAGGGTACGTTAATCGTTTGCTTGGGACCAATAGGCTACTAAAGTGGTGAGCCAATTTAAAATCGTTAGTTTCGTATTGATTGTTGGTATTACCAACCGGTGGAAACTAACGATTTAAAATTGGCTCACTACTTGAATAGCCTATTGGTCCTAAGCAAATCGATTAACGTACTCCATTCTAGTCGAAATTCTAGAACTACACTATGTTTGTTTTGATTTGCTATGAAAGTTTGACAGATAAAATTAGGGGTTCGTGGATTTTCCTATGTTTCGAGGGGTGCATCGATTAGCTTGGGACCAAAGGGAGTACTAGAGCTGAGCCAAAAAGTTGAGCACTTTTCTTCGGGACCTGCTGGTCATAGAGTTTCCTCTTTGGTATTACCATAGAGGTAGCTCTAAGACTAGTAGGTCCCAAAGAAATGTGCTAAAATTTTTGGTTCAGCTCTGGTACTATCTTCGGTCCCAAGCTAATCGATACACCCCTCGAAACATAGGAAAATCCACGAACCCCTCATTTTATCTGTCAAACTTTCACAGTGAATCAAAACAAACATGTGTAGTAATAGAATATCGACTAGAATGGGGTACGTTAATCGATTTGCTTGGGACCAATAGGCTAGTCAAGTAGTGAGCCAATTTAAAATCGTTAGTTTTCACCGTAGTTACGGAAGCAGTTGGCAAGGCTTCGGATGCGAGACGAGTCGTCGATGCGGAGTCATTTCCAGGTATTCGATGAGCAAATAAAAATGGCAGGCGCCAAGCTGGGAGAGAATAACCTGGTGGCGCACCTGTTCCTCACGTTGCCGGATACTTTTAACCCTCTCGTTACCTCTGCGATTTCCAAGTACGAGGCGACCTTTCAACGGCTAGCAAAACCCATCGACTTCGTCCTTAAGCAGTTTTCGAGTTTCTCCGGATAGGATCAACCACGATTTCACTTGGCAGGAGTTTCAGTTCGCACTTAGTAGAAGCAACGGGAAATCAAAAAATCTCTCAGCCGGCCCAGATGAGATCGGCTACCCGCTGCTCAAGAACCTGCCTACCCCGGGTAAAGTAAAAATGCTGGAACTCTTCAACCAGCTTTGGCAGACAGACTCGTATCCAGAGCATTGGAGGGAGAGCTTGGTTGTCCCCATCCCCAAAGCAAACGAGCCGACATGGACATGGGACGTGGCGAAGTTCCGACCCATTGCGCTCACCTGCTGCATGGCAAAGGTGTTCGAGCGGATGATCAACCGACGATTGAAGCAGTTTCTCGAGTCTCCTCAAGGATGCCAACGATAATGGTCTCCATACGGAGTTGGTTTCCCTGGACATTGCGAAAGCCTTCAACCGAACATGGACGCCCGCGGTACTGAAGCAACTCGTTAGCTGGGGCCTTAGCGGCCATATCATCCATTTCGTCCAAAATTTCCTGACTGGCCGATCCTTCCGAGTCTCGGTAGGTAATACCAAATCCCGCAGTTGCAGGTTCAGTGATCGCTGTCACTTTGTTCCTTGTCTTCGAGCGGTTACCAGCGAGCGCAGACGACGTGCAAATCGTAGCCACAGGTCAAACTCCGGGACGAAGGAGGATTAGGGCCCAAGCAAGGGTTTCCGCCGTAGCCAGATGGGCCGCTTTGAAAGGTTTTCAGCTGTCTGCTGGAAAGAGCGCTAGGTGCGCTAGAAAACTGTGAAACTGCTGGGGGTTGTCATTGACCGGTCGCTGAGTTTTGACCAGCACCTTCAAGGGGTCAAGGCCAGCTGTCGCAGCAGGATCAACCTCATCCGCACAATCTCCCGTACCCACGGGTCCAACAACAGAGAAGTACGTTTCCGTGTTGCCCGGGCCATCGTAGACAGCCGGCTGATGTATGAACTCTAGCTGACCTGCATCACTACCGACAAGGCAATACAAATACTCGCTCCGGTGTACAATAGCTACACGCGCATCATCTCCGGTCTCCTACTCTCCCTTTCCGGTACCGCATCTACGAAGTCATTGCCAACAAAGCCGCTGCATTTTCAGCAAATACCGCCGGAAACGACAGAATCTGTCTCCTCAGCGAAGGGGACAGAGTTCTCCGTACAATCAACAATCAATACGAAACTAAGGATTTTAAATTGGATCCCTACTTGACTAGCCTATTGGTCCCAAGCAAACGATTAACGTACCCCATTCTAGTCGAAATTCTAGTACTACGTAATGTTTGTTTTGATTCGCTATGAAAGTTTGACAGATAAAATGAGGGGTTATTGGTTTTTCGTATGTTTCGAGGGGTGAATCGATTAGCTTGGGACCGAAGAGAGTACCAGAGCTGAGCCAAAAAGTTGAGCACGTTTCTTCGGGACCTACTAGTCTTAGAGTTACCTCTATGGTACAATCGCCAACGCAGAGCTCCCCCCAGTGGCCAAGATTCAGTGGTACCAAACATCGACAGCCGGATAAAGGAGAAGTTCAGAGCCGGGGACAATTCCGTAGCCCTTAGGAGATCGGTAGCAGAGCTGACCGGATTGTACCCAAACTACATGCATCGTTACACGGACGGGTCAAGATCGAGAGCTGGAGTCGGAATGGGAATCGCTGGTGACATTTCCCCAACGAGTAGAAGTCTGCCAAAGCAATGTTCGGTGTTCTCGGCAGAGGCAGCGGCTATTCTTCATGCCATCACGGTTCCTGCGAATCGCCCAATCCTGATCCTGTCGGACTCCCACAGTGTTATTCAGGCTCTATCGTTGGAGGTCCCGGTCCACCCCATGGATCCAGGGCATATTGAAGGTTGCGCTATCAAACATTACCTACGCATGGATTCCCGGACGCTGCGGACAACCTAGCCGGGTCAGGCCCACCGGGTGCTCGGTACTCACACAAGGTACCGTTGCAGGACGTGATTAGATGGATCCTGCTCACGATGTGAACGACGAAGACAAGAAGAGCACGCAGCACGAAGATTTGAGTGGTGCATCGGCACTCACACTCCTCTGTCACCGAGCTTTCTTTACGATTTGCTTTTATGTGGGCATCCACATCATTCAAGAGTTTTGCTGAGATACATGCTTCGAGTACCGTCGCACACGATGAACGAATATGAGAGAAATGAAGCGAATATCAGTAACCTTGCTCTCGATGTGTGTCACGCGATCATCTGTTAACTCGGCAGCAACCATTGTTTGGTTTTCCTCATTGTTATTCTTCAGCAGTTCATTCGCTCGATGCGTCGTCGACTTTGGAAAGCAACCGTTTCGTGATGAGTGTGTAAGTGTCACTGATTGATGACTACACTGAAACAAAGATAATAGTTAGGAATACTATTTTGCAGAAAACACTTATTTTCAGTATAACTACGCTTAATACCGTTAAATATACCATGATTTCAGTATAGTTGACTATAAATATAATCAAATTTACAACCATTCTGTCAAAACTACTATGCTGACTCAAACGTTATAGTAGTTTCGATAGAAAAATTAGTCAAATTAAATGAATTTCGTTTCTGCACAAATCTATTGGTGGGAGTATTTAATTTAAACCATCAATATAGTATTTTTGCCAATGGATTTTGTTTCTGTGTACGTTTTGCTGAAATGGAATAGGATTGGGCGATCTTGAGAGAAAGATCGATCTTGACGGATCGATCTTACACTTGGCTCTAGAATCGATTTACTGATTAAAACGGTACCAAAGATCGTTCTTTTTATTTTTTTAAACGTTGGTACCCGATGAAATTCTTTCCTATATATATAGCATTCAATTAAATGTTGTTGTTTTCAACATAAATATTTTATGTTCTCGGCTTGAACAAAAGGTTGATTGTATATCAAAAGACAAAATATAAAGGCAAGGAGCAATGAGCACAGGTTGCAGGTAGTGCGAACCTTAAAATGTTGCTGTATTCGTAAATATCGGAAACACAAATAGTGACGTTATTGTAATTCAGATAATAACATAGGGAGCTATGCTGATGTTGACGTTATGTTTGTAATCGTTTTTTTTTTCGATGTAAATACACTTAAAAAAATTAACACCTGTATTTTTGAAGATCGAAATGATCGAAAGAAAAGATCGATTTTTTCGTAGGCAAAAAATCTATCCGAAAAATGGGAAATCGGGATGAAAAAGATCAATCCAAAATCACCCAATCATACAATGGAAGCGCTCTACTCCCCGTTGGCGATACTGCCATACAATGAAACCACTGGAAGCGGATCCCGTTCCGATGGATGAGCCTTATTGGATAGCGGGAGATAAAGTGTTTATTGTGCTGCACCTTTTGACTATAGTTTTAAGATGTTTTGTATAGTGAAGAAGAATCATCGGCTCTGGAAAGTTAATTCGATTGAGTCTTATCAAATAAATTAATAAACCAAAATCGAACGTTTACTGTATTGGCGAAAATCTTCATTTGACTTATCTGAATTTCATGTTAAATAAATGTACATCAAGGCTTGGCGGAGCACTGAATGCTCCCCGAAAAAAAAACCCCGATATACACCATGTGTGTCTTATGACCTTCATCAATTTCGTGGATTAAATAAGTCCTCTCCTCACATATACAGGAGCGTTCCTTTGTAAGGTGGGTCGAGTTATTTTTAGGTTGCATGAAGCTACTTCTGAATGCAGGAGAAACAACAAATACTTGAATAATTGAAATTTCCATCTCAAAATCTATTTGGAACCTACGTCGGTACCAACTCCACCCAGTACTGCCACTCAATTGCAGATTAGCCTCTCAAACTTTCCCCTATTTCAATTTATGCGTGAAAGCTACGTTTTCTGCTTCTAACTATTTGTCCCGATGACACATTTAGGTGCATTCCTAAGGGGGTTTGCTCTTCTAGTGCGCTATTCGCGCAGCTTCTCTAATCTACAGTCTACAGCGACAATCTGCTTCCACTCGCTCCCCCCGTCTCCTACGAACGTCTCAATGCTGGCTCTGTTTTAGTTTGCATCAATTTGTATGCTTTTTCGTTTTTAGTTTTGTCGTTTCATGTTCTAAAAAAATCAGTCTCAATTCAGGTGATCTACCAATTTACACGTTTTACAGATTTGCCCTCTGTTTCTAGCGTTCTTTTTACAGATTTTTCGTTTTAGCGTTTAGCAGGTTGCACAATTTTGGTCAAAGTTCCCTACCGAATCGGTTGTTTTATTTGTTTGCTTTGCCAAGGATTTCTTCCATTTTGTTATTAGCTGAATTGTACTTGCATTTTGCTCACTATGTACACGGTCGGTCTGTGGATGTGCACCGCATTTGGTAAATCTAAATCGAATCTCGATCCTTAATGTTGTTGCACCGAGAGCAGTTTTCTATGGTAGGTCAGGATCTTGATTACAGCTATATACAATGACCACGGATAGGGACAGTACAGTCAGTGGTCAGGGTGCAGTTGAGAAGACGACCAAAAACTGAACACATTCAAATGCTGCACACAGGTCGAGCGAATTTTCGTTTTGTTCTCATGGTTGAAGTGCACGGTTCGTTTCTAAGATTAAGATGCGTTTTTAGTGTGTGTGTGTGTGTGTGTGTGTGTGTGTGAGAGAGAGTGATTTTTCTCTCCACATGTGTAAAAGGATTACAAAAACACACACAGCTTAAGTTTAGTGGCTCTCTTAACAGTTGTTAGTTGTTTAGTTATTCTTTCTAAATTTGTTGATTTTTTTTGTTTAGAAAAAGTTCTCCTAAGTATTGCTGTAGAGTTTGCTTGCTTTTAAGTTTTATGCTTGTATTGGTTGTTTTGATTTAGTGTGACATCGCTCATCATTCACGCCGAAAAGAAGGCTAGATCTGCTGTTGTCTGTTGTTTGAAGGTAACAGAGTGCCGGTATTTACATCCACATTTTGCACATTTAAAATCAAGTTATTCACTTACCTAGGACACGATTCCAAACTACTGAATATCGGTTTGTGCAATACGTTTCAAAGAACTTACAAAGTAACACACGACGACACGTGGTGGTAACGAACGCGTATTCACCTAATTATATTGCAAGGATGCGCTTCCGCTGGAAGAAGGATGGCGCTGAACGCAGGATATTACCCTCTCTAGAATCTACTTTTCTTTTTTGTTTTACAGTTAATCGCTATTTACATCACCGCTGCCGAGCATTTTCCGATCCCGCTCGTGCCAGGGTTGATCGTTGTAGCCCCCGCGGCTACCGGCGACCCGTTTCTGGCGGGACATTTTGAAGTTCTGCCGGGACTTGATACCGACCACACTCGAGGGCATCAGCAGCTGCTGGGACTGAGACGGTGGCTGATGCTGCTGAGCCTCAACGATGATCAGCTCCTTCCGTTGGACACCAGAACCCGCCGCCGCCGCCGCCGCCGGTGACGAGCAGTTACTCTCATGCTTCTTCAGCAGCGGTGACGTCACCTTAGGCGACCCGTCCTCGTCGGACACCGCTAGCAGCCGATCCTTCTGGCGGATCGAACGCTCCAGACGACGGAGGAACCTGTGAATTTGAGTCATGGGATTAGATATCGGTGGTGGGTAATTTAGGACGAACCGTATCTGATTGCCAATAGCTCGGAGGCGTCCAATTTTGCTCTGCGGTCTGGCGCTGATGTCCTCAACCGTTACCTTGGGCAGTATTTGGCTAGATACATCCTGGTGGAAGGGAATGGTAAGAGCATGGTATTTGGATTATCATCTTTCAAGAACATGCGATCATTCGAAAGTTGACATTCACGAATTGCTATTGATCTTTTTACGGATGGCATACTCTAATTACTATAGATCAATCAGTATTGTATTTACACTAGCAGCATCAGCATCATCATCATCATCATCAGCAGCAGCAGTAACAATATATAGCAGTTGGATAGTGGGCGGTTCGATGGAGGTCGATAATGACTATAGGTGCGTTTCAGGGAAGGATGATGTTGGGGTATGTAATGTGTATGAGTTTTGGTTGATAATTCGATGAATACCTAACAAACCCTATGCTTCGGAAATCTGGTCCATTTGGCATATTGAGGACTCAAAGGGGATTCCTAAAGTTCTCTACGATGTGCTTAAAGTCGCCCTAGTCGCATAGTTTTCCTGAACTTCTTGAAGTTGCACACGTAAGTTTAAGGGGGTAGTCCACTCTGGAAATTTCAAAAAATCTTTTTTTTTAGCTTAAAAAATACTTTGGAAAGTCTACTTTGACATAGACTTGACCGCAAGGCCGCAAGTGACATCGTTCCAAAGTTATAGGCCGATTAGTGGACTCGTGTCCAGACGCTCCAAGCGCGCTCAGGTGAGCGCTCGGAGTACCCGCCGTTACCGGCGAAACGGCGTGTCTTAGTAGTTCCAACTGCTGCGCGATTATCTCTAAACGATGTTTTCAAAATTGGTGGGCGCTGTATTTTAGAAACGGCTCATTCGATTTAAACGGCGATTGAATTTTCGTTATTTACCCTCAAAAAAAAAAAAAAAAAAAAATTCGTGAAAATGATCTATTTTTCATGCCGCCAGAGTGGACTACCCCCTTAATTAAGAACTGTAAGCTTTCCTAAATTTGTCTAGACATTGTAAGTTATTGCAGTACTTCGGACTTCCTGGAAATTCTCTGGACTTTTGAACAGTTCCACGTCAAATGACGAATCCATCTGACGCGAGCTTTTTTCATTTGCATGAAGCTTTCCATAATTCGACAGTGAGCATGCATAAGGGCGAATACGCGATGATCGATTCTCTTCGTCGATTTTCTCTTTGCATTGCTGCAGCTAAGTGAAACAATTTTCTAGAATTTGTTCAATGCAGAGTAGTAACAGGTTGTATTGGTTATCAAAAGCAACAGCAAACGCACCGAGAAACGTTAAATCTAGCGAGTTATTAACAAAAGAGAAATCGACAAAGAGAATCGATCATCGCGTATAGGCCCTTATGCATACTCACTGTCGAATTGTTTGTTAAGGTCAATCCTAAGAGAAGAGGTGACAATACGGGGGCGAAAATGAACCACTTTTCTGTTAAACGTGAACCAACTCCTGATAGGACCATTTCATGTGCGTAAGATAGAGATAGAGATATAAATAAAAGAGGAAGAAGCCAATTGTCACCTCTCATATTAGGGTCAATCATTCACATGTGTTGCTAATAAAGCCCTACAGTAAAAGTATGGACGACTGTCACCACAAAACTGAAAAAAAGCTGTTCCAATCGAGCAAAGCGGTGCATTTTGACGGTTCGATTGGAACAACTTTTGACAGACGTCCATACTTTTACTGTAGGGCTTTAGTTGCTAACACTGCCAGTCCGAACACGGTAAGAAAAAAAAAACTCAAAATTAAGTTAAAAAAACTCAACGTTGGGTTCTATCATTTGAGGTCCGCCGTTGAGTGAATCAGAAAAGCGGCGTTGGTTAAAATTTACTCAACTATTGACTAATAATAAATGAACTCAAATATAAGTTTATGTTCATTGAGGTTGCTCTTATGCGCCTTTAACCATTTCAGTTTCACAAGCGTTGATAGACGAGTGGTCAACACACGGGCCCCGCAATCTCAACGTCCATGGTTCGGTTCCAGTCTGCTCCGTCTTATTATTTTTTTGTCAACTTGGTCAACGTGGGTACTTTTTCTTGCCGTGAACATTTCTATTAAGGATTGGGCGATCTTTGATCGATTTTTGGAAGATCGATCTTTCTCATCCTGATATCCGATTCACGAAAAGATCGAAAAAAATAGATTTTTTCGATCTTCAAAAAAATAGGTGCTAATTTTTTTAAAAAAGAAAAGTAAAACATGCGATTTACTCTCACCCCATACTGCGTGGTAAATTTAACGAACATAACTCAACGTCAGCATTGCTCCCTACACTAATAAAATCCCACACATTTTTATTGACGAATTACCATGTGAAATTCCACTGGCTACCTTACATACATACAATTACCATGTGAAATTCCACATGATTTTCATGTGACCACACATAAACAGAATCCATCCAGAAGCACACATGAAATTTATGAGTCAAATGAATAGTATGTGTGATTACACATGGATTTTATGTGTACACATATTGAGTATGTGTCCGACACATAGATATTATTTGTTGATCACATTGCAAAAAATAATGTGTGGGACACATAAAACAATCTTTGAAATTTTATCAGTGTATGTTTTTATCTGATTACAATGACGTCACTATTTGCGTTTCCAATATTTACGAATACAACAATATTTGAAGCACAGAAAAACAGACGTAACACTTCATTGTGTATCTTCGTTCACGCATTTAACGGTTGATTTGAATATTATCAATTCCGCGAACTACTCGCCGCAGCGCATCACTTTGACGTTTCTATACATTCTATAGAAGTTTTATGCAATATTGTTTGCGAGTTAGCGAGCAATCTTGTTTTCCGCGAGAAGCCAGAGAGATGTCGTTACTGAGGTCTTATGTTTTAAGATACTATGTTTTCAAGAAAAACTTGCTCAAAGAGTTACGTCTGTTTGTCTGTGTTTGAAGGTTTGCTATACCTTCCTCCTGTGCTCATTGCTCCTTGCCGTCACATTTTTCCTACACGGAGAAACAGAATGATACATTTTGATTGATTAATCATTAATGATTCAAAACTACACAAAAATGATAAAAATTCATCCGTCATTATGAGCTGTCCCGTTTTTCTCGAAAATGATTAAACTTAAATCATTAATGTATCATTCTGTTTCTCCGTGTACTTTGTTGGCAACTGAACTGAATTGACTCATACATTGACAGTGAGCAAGTGTGGCGTTCATTTCCTCTTTGTTTTCGTTTCCTCGTTACCTTGCGCGCATTTTATTTAAAGAAAAAAAAATCTGGCCGGTGATTTAATTGAATATTATAAAAGAAAGATTTTCTTGGGGTGCCAACGTAAACAAGCGTATTAAAAAAATCAAAAGATCGATTCTTTGGTTCTGATTTAATCAGTGGATCGATTCTAGAGCCAAATATAAGCTCGATCCATCATTTCTCTGAAGATCGCCCAATCCTAATTCAGGTATTGCAATCGTCACACTGTCAACCGTCAGGCCACCCCTGAGCGTAACCGTAGCAACGAAATAAACATCGAAGCAAGCGGATGTAAAAAAAGAGAGGGAAAATTTGTTCAAAAGTGAAAAGAAGTTGAGAAATATCTGCGGTACGAATAGAAATAAAATAGAAAGAAGTTGTTTTAGTGAAAAACATATTAATACTATGAAGAAGTGCAAAGGTAGATCTGCCTGTCGAAAGTATCCTCTGTGTTCGTATCACTGGTCACGCTGTGGGAAAACCTGATTGGAGCTAAACTGACGCTCTTTCCCCGACAAACGAACATTCTGGACAGGACTTCTCTCACAGGTGAGCAAACACCCGGCCTTCAACGACCAGGACGATTGCTACATTTTGGTCCTTCTCTCACAAGTGAGCAAATACCCGGCCGTCAACGATCAGGATGATTGCTACATTTTGGTCCTTCTCTCACAGGTGAGCAAACACCCGGCCGTCAACGACCAGGACGATCGCTACATTTTGGTCCTTGTCTCACAGGTGAGCAAACACCCGGCCGTCAACGAGCCGGACGATTGCTACATTTTGGTCCTTCTCTCACAGGTGAGCAAACACCCGGCCGTCAACGGTTACAACATGTGAGCTAAAATTCGGCCATTTTGAAACTCGCTAAAAACATCAAAATACGCCATTCGATATTTTTCAACAAATCCTAACTCTAACATTCCTTGTCTCACAGGTGAGCAAACACCCGGCCGTCAGCGAGCAGGACAGTTGCTACATTTTCGTCCTCCTCTCACAGGTGAGCAAACACCCGGTCGTCAACTACCAGGACGATGGCTACATGTTGGTCCTTCTATCACATGTGAGCAAACACCCGGCCATCAACGAGCTGGACGATTGCTACATTTTGGTCCTTGTCTCACAGGTGAGCAAATACCCGGTCGTCAACGATCAGGATGATTGCTACATTTTGGTCCTTCTCTCACAAGTGAGCAAACACCCGGCCGTCAACTACCAGAACGATTGCTACATTTTGGTCCTTCTCTCACAGGTGAGCAAACACCCGGCCGTCAACGGTTACAACATGTGAGCTAAAATTCGGCCATTTTGAAACTCGCTAAAAACATCAAAATACGCCATTCGATATTTTTCAACAAATCCTAACTCTAACATGTCACTTCCAATCGAAATGATTTCTGCGACAAAGTTGAAGAACAAATAATTTCTTTTCTGAAAAAAATATACTTGGTTAAAAATGTTAAGTAATTTTGGGTGAAAATTTCAAAAAGTGTTTAAACTTGCATATCGAATAATGATCCTCTTCAATGATTTTTGAATAATTTTCATAAGCTGCTTTTGGAGAATGCTATTTACCGAAAGACACTTGAAAAATAACAAAAAATAATGAAAACAGTTTTTGGACAAATTTTTAAACTTTTAGATTACACATATTTGTGTAAAATTTTACATAGAAAACCGGTCAAGGAAGCGATCAACCATTTGGAGGACTGGCTATTAACACAACGAGAGGATGCAGCATGGAGAAACAAGGTTCGGACGTACCTTAAGCTGACCCGCCTTTGTATGGAAGAGAACTACTTCTCTTTCCGAGGTAACTTCTACAAGCAGACGAAAGGAGCCCC